ATGGATGGCTGCCTTGAAAAAATATTCTTTAAAAAATCCACGCCTTGTATGGATGGCTGCCTTGAAAAAATATTCTTTAAAAAATCCACGCCTTGTATGGATGGCTGCCTTGAAAAAATATTCTTTAAAAAATCCACGCCTTGTATGGATGGCTGCCTTGAAAAAATATTCTTTAAAAAATCCACGCCTTGTATGGATGGCTGCCTTGAAAAAATATTCTTTAAAAAATCCACGCCTTGTATGGATGGCTGCCTTGAAAAAATATTCTTTAAAAAATCCACGCCTTATGGATGGCTGCCTTGAAAAAATGGATGGCTGTATGGATGGCCTTGAAAAAATATTCTTTAAAAAATCCACGCCTTGTATGGATGGCTGCCTTGAAAAAATATTCTTTAAAAAATCCACGCCTTGTATGGATGGCTGCCTTGTATGGATGGCTGCCTTGAAAAAATATGGGGCCTATAATAAGGCGTGGATTTTTTAAAGATTATTTTTGGGGCCTATAATAAGGCGTGGATTTTTTAAAGATTATTTTTGGGGCCTATAATAAGGCGTGGATTTTTTAATGATTATTTTTGGGGGCCTATAATAAGGCGTGGATTTTTTAAAGATTATTTTTGGGGCCTATAATAAGGCGTGGATTTTTTAAAGATTATTTTTGGGGCCTATAATAAGTCGTGGATTTTTTAAAGATTATTTTTGGGCCTATAATAAGGCGTGGATTTTTTAAAGATTATTTTTGGGGCCTATAATAAGGCGTGGATTTTTTAAAGATTATTTTTGGGGCCTATAATAAGGCGTGGATTTTTTAAAGATTATTTTTGGGGCCTATAATAAGGCGTGGATTTTTTAAAGATTATTTTTTGGGGCCTATAATAAGGCGTGGATTTTTTTTGGGGCCTATAATAAGGCGTGGATTTTTCAAAGAATATTTTTTGGGGCCTATAATAAGGCGTGGATTTTTCATAGAATATTTTTTGGGGCCTATAATAAGGCGTGGATTTTTCAAAGAATATTTTTGGGGCCTATAATAAGGCGTGGATTTTTCAAAGATTATTTTTTGGGGCCTATAATAAGGCGTGGATTTAATAAGGCGTGGATTTTTTAAAGAATATTTTTGGGGCCTATAATAAGGCGTGGATTTTTTAAAGATTATTTTTGGGGCCTATAATAAGGCGTGGATTTTTTAAAGATTATTTTTGGGGCCTATAATAAGGCGTGGATTTTTTAAAGATTATTTTTGGGGCCTATAATAAGGCGTGGATTTTTTAAAGATTATTTTTGGGGCCTATAATAAGGCGTGGATTTTTTAAAGATTATTTTTGGGGCCTATAATAAGGCGTGGATTTTTTAAAGATTATTTTTGGGGCCTATAATAAGGCGTGGATTTTTTAAAGATTATTTTTGGGGCCTATAATAAGGCGTGGATTTTTTAAAGATTATTTTTGGGGCCTATAATAAGGCGTGGATTTTTCAAAGAATATTTTTTGGGGCCTATAATAAGGCGTGGATTTTTCAAAGAATATTTTTTGGGGCCTATAATAAGGCGTGGATTTTTCAATGAATATTTTTTGGGGCCTATAATAAGGCGTGGATTTTTCAAAGAATATTTTTTGGGGCCTATAATAAGGCGTGGATTTTTTAAAGATTATTTTTTGGGGCCTATAATAAGGCGTGGATTTTTTAAAGATTATTTTTTGGGGCCTATAATAAGGCGTGGATTTTTTAATGAATATTTTTTGGGGCTATAATAAGGCGTGGATTTTTCAAATAATATTTTTTGAGGCCTATAATAAGGCGTGGATTTTTAAAGAATATTTTTTGGGGCCTATAATAAGGCGTGGATTTTTTAAAGAATATTTTTTGGGGCCTATAATAGGGCGTGGATTTTTCAAGGAATATTTTTCGAGTTATTGTTCGGTTTGACCTTCCATCCGTCCTCTATTTAGAGATATATGTTCTGGATAAGGTGTTCCATAGCCGACATAGTCCAAGTCAATGTTTTTTTCCGTAGGCTTTATATGCCAACAGCCGAGTGATAAGGTTTCTGCTTGCTACCATGCTGAGGTTGCTTGTTCCTCATTGTGGTTGCCTTGCGGAACATAGTCGTTTTATCTCCACCATAGCAGAAGTTAACAAAAAAACTCATTCAATGGTTTTTACAAACTTGTCGCCGTGAAACTTACAAGTACCATATACACAGGCAAGCACATGCATGTTCATCAAAATTGTATTTCACATACATTTGAAATAGGCTTACGTTGAGGTAAGACTGATTTTTGGTTAGTACGTCACTGTCGCAAAAAATAATATCATATTCATATCAAATTTAAGGTCCATTGAAGACCTGCAGAAAGTTTTCTGTACATAGAAGACCTGTAGAGGGCCTTTTATCCATAGAAGACCTGCAGAGAATATGATATCCATAAAAGACCTGCAGAATGTATTCTGTCCAAGAAGACCTGTAGTAGGTCTTCTATCCACAGAAGATCTGCAGAAGGTATTTTATCGATAGAAATCCTATAAAAGACCTTTATAAAGTATTTTATCCACAAAAGAACTTTAAAAGTTCTTCTATCAATAGAGACCAGTGGACGGTCTTCAGAGGACCATTCACATTTCTATCCTAAGAAGGCATGTTAAAAGTATTCTATATAGAGAAGACTTTGTGCCCAGTGTGTAGATAATTTCCTAAAAAATTACAAACCCTCGTCTGCAATTTGATTCATGCCACCATTCGCTGCCCGACCAAGTTCGCTGCAAGACCGAAAAACAAATACGCTTCGTAACCTTTGATCTGTGGCATGACAAGTCGGTATATTTCGCTGGCAGGGCAGGCAGTCGGGCAGATCTAACATGAAGTTTATTAAGTTTTAATGAGTGTCAAGTGCACAGCTTACATTTTTTTTTTGCGAAATCAGCCTCAGACCCACACACATCTATATATAATTACGCACACATGCACTTCGAATAAAGAAAAAAACAGCGAAAATGAATAAAAGTAGATTTTAATTGAATGCGAAGAGGTTATGGAAAATGTGGCGAAGTGCTTCAAAGTGCAGGTAATAAAGGAACTTTTGTCGATGTCGTATTTCATCAAAAGTTTTGGAGGTTTGAAAAGAAAACCCGGACAGAAGATAATTATGAATTAAGAAAATAAAAACAAATAGAATATACGAAATAATAAGATATTGTGGTTATAAATAGGAAAAGAAATGAAGAACTTAATGGAGAACGGATTGAAGGTCGTGCAGAATAATATAAAAAATCAATGAAGGTAAAATAAATAAAATTTATGTAAAATGAGCTGAAAAAATATTCTTTAAAAAATCCACGCCTTGTTATAGGCCCCAAAAAATATTCTTTAAAAAATCCACGCCTTGTTATAGGCCCCAAAAAATATTCTTTAAAAAATCCACGCCTTGTTATAGGCCCAAAATAAAAGTAGATTTTAATTGAATGCGAAGAGGTTATGGAAAATGTGGCGAATATTCTTTAAAAAATCCACGCCTTGTTATAGGCCCCAAAAAATATTCTTTAAAAAATCCACGCCTTGTTATAGGCCCCAAAAAATATTCTTTAAAAAATCCACGCCTTGTTATAGGCCCCAAAAAATATTCTTTAAAAAATCCACGCCTTGTTATAGGCCCCAAAAAATATTCTTTAAAAAAATCCACGCCTTGTTATGGGCCCCAAAAAATATTCTTTAAAAAAATCCACGCCTTGTTATAGGCCCCAAAAAATATTCTTTGAAAAATCCACGCCTTGTTATAGGCCCCAAAAAATATTCTTTAAAAAATCCACGCACCAAAAAAAAATTAAAATTCCACCCTTTTTGAAATTATTGTCTAATATGGGCTAATTTATTTAATTATTATTTGTTTATAAATAACAGTCAGTCATGGCAACCGCCCTCTACCACCAAATAATAAACACGTTTGCACATAGACACCCTGTTGCCTTGGTGCGTACAGAAAATAACAAATCACCCAGTACTTTGCAACGAAAGCAACTGTGTGTCAGTATCAGCTGTCAGAATTGCGCTCTCATTGTGATTGGACGTGTGTATTTTGTTGTTGTGTCTGTGAAACAGCAAGAATAGAAGAAGAAAACGAACCACGGCAAAAGTAACAAGAGACAGTCAACAAAAGAAAAATTTGCAAATTAAACCAAAAAAATTCTATTAAACAAAGTAAAAATATATTTTATACTTTTATAATACAACAACACCAAATCAAGTAGAACAGAAGACAGAACAAATCCCCTGCAAACATGACCGACATGAAGAATGAAATGGACAGTGATTTGGATCAGAATTATTCACTGAACAGCAATGCAGATCCCAAGAACATGCAGGAATTGACAATTTATGTGAGTATTGAATAGAATTTTACAAAAATGAAAATGTTTGGTTCCCCAAACTGCCGTATCTGCGTGAATGTTCGGCAATTGCTACCTTGTTGCTTATTAAATGCGCTAAATTTCGTCCACAACAAATTATCATCCGCCTGACAAAACGAAATGAAATCCTCCGCCTGCCCTTGGTTGAGCCCCCCTGCTTGTTCATTTACATATTGTCATCATAATTTGTTTATTTTTGCTATTTGCCGTAAACAACGAAAAAATGGGCGGAAACATTAAATACCCCAAGTGCAGCAGTGTACCCACTGATGGGTGCAGCATAGATAGAGATATATTGCCAATGATTAATTAATGAGTCTTTATGTATATTAAAAGTTGCTGGAAAAACATTACACCGCCCAATATTCCATAAGACATTTACAATTCCTAAAGCATGAAGTTTATAGTGAGGAGTTAACAAAAAGAAATGCCCGAGTATTTGAAATGCAGATGAAAAAATAACTTGGAATGGAAAGACATACAAGATACTGAAGGAATAACATATGCCTAGTTTGGGGACCTTTCGGGGAAATATACAAATTCGTCAAGAGTATCCCAATAGTAGTCAATTATGCAAAAGCTCGAATTTAACTTAAAATTGTTGAAATTCGAATTATATCTCCAAAGGAAAAAAGGCCAGCCTTAAGGCTGTAAACTACATTTCACAATTAAATATCGATTTCAATATTGAATTCGGGATTTTGAGGCATTCGAGCATGCTATTGGTGATTAATTGGTAGGATATTCTGAAATAATGTAAATGGGGGACCTATTTTGTATTGATTCGTCAGCAAAACTAAATGACTCGTGAAGAATACTAGGCGTATCTGTCAAAAATCCATTGCCGACTGGATCGCCAATTGTGAAAGGTGCATAAGAGCTAAAGGTCCAGCACGGAAGAGTCGAGGCTACATGCAGCAGTATAATTCAGGAGCCCCGCAATGGATGTAGCTGGACCGTTCCCAACAAGCGACTCTGGGAACCGGTATGTCTTAGTGGTCATGGATTACTTCAGTAAATGGCCAGAGGTTTATGCTATCCCAAATCAAGAAGCCAGGACAATTGTGGATGTGTTCAGCAAAAATTGGATTTGTCGCTATGGTGTTCCATCTGAGGTTCATTCCGATCAAGGTAGGAATTTTGAATCAGCGATCTTCAAGGAAATGTGTGACTCCTACGGAATCAAGAAAACCAGAACGACGCCCCTACATCCACAATCAGATGGCATGGTGGAAAGATTCAATCGCACCCTGGAAGAACATCTACGGAAAGTGGTGGACAGTGGCCAACGAGACTGGGATGAGCATATTCCAAAGTTTTTACTGGCTTATAGATCGGCCATTCATGATTCCACATCCCGGACCCCAGCCAAAGTTCTGTTCGGAAATGAATTAAAGCTACCTGGCGATTTGATATTCGGTGCTACCCCAAACGACGATGTGAACCAAGATGAAGACAGTCAAAACTCTTTTAGTAAAGTCCACGATGCAGTCCGACATCGAATAAAAATGGTTAGCAACCGCATGAAGGCAAGGTACGATTTTGGATTTTGAGGCATTCGAGCATGCTATTGGTGATTAATTGGTAGGATATTCTGAAATAATGTAAATGGGGGACCTATTTTGTATTGATTCGTCAGCAAAACTAAATGACTCGTGAAGAATACTAGGCGTATCTATAAGCTCAATTTACTTCCATCACACGTTTGTGAATGAAAAGTCCGTGGTTTTTTATATCAATTCCTTTTCCAGGGTATTTCTGAGCCCGATGCCTTAATATTTCTGTCCCTCTGCTTTTGATTTTTCACCTTTGTATACCCCTGATATTCAATTGCAGTGTTTGATTCTTGTCTGAATTGGGTTTATTCTGTTTCCAGTTTGATTGTTTAAGTAAGCAAATAATGGTTGGTACTTGCCTCCGGAAATTTGTTGAAAGAATTAGCGTTACAAAAATTTCAGAACAATAAATGGTTTGCAATCTTCTGCAAAGCAAAATCAGTTATTTGGATAGCTAAAATAAATAAAATAATAAGCACAGCAGTAAACAATTTCTGGAGATAAGACATAAATCTAATGGATTTTCTAGTGACAAATCATACACATATATCGAGAGTGTAGATGAATTGAATGAGAAATTTGCTACTTATTTAAAAGATTCTTCTTCCGTCAGTGATATTCGCTAGTGTGGCTTTGCTGATGCTGGATTCTCTTTTAGATGTGTTGATGGTTTCGAACTAAAGTCCAATACAGCTGGTTTCGATGGATATACCTTTAAGTTTAACAACCCCCACAAACGTATAAAGGACCACGATCTGTGAATCTGCACTTGGAACGTGCGCACGTTTAACAAAACAGGCACAGTTTTTGCTTTGGCGGATGTACTCAAGAAGTACAAAGCCGAAGATGAGGTCAGAGTAGCAATCATTTGGCTGAAGAATAATAAAACAGCAGGTGACGGAAGGCATTCATCCAGTGTTTTAGACGTCCGATCGATCCGAGGAGCTAATATCGATTTGGACCACTACCTTGTAGCAGCCAAGGTTCGCACTCGTCTTAATGTTGCAGCAAAGGTGCGATCTAACACAACACGGAAACTCGACGTCGAAAATCTGCAAACACAACAGGTAGCCGAGGCCTACTCTGCTCAAATTACCCAGCTGCTTGACGAAAGCACTTCTTGTCCCGATAATAGTATAGAAGCACAATGGCAAAGAATTGCCCACTCCCTTCAAACTGCAGCAAAAGCAACACTTGGATACCAAAAACCACCATCAAGAAACCCGTGGTTCGATCAGAAGTGTCGTAATTTTACTGAGTCGAAAAACGCAGCGTAACCTGCAGCCAGTAGCAACACGTAATGTGATGAAGAATTATCGGGAGAAAAGGAGAGATGAGAAAGGTGTTTCAGAAAAAAGAAGAGAGAACAAGAAAAACATGAGCATGAGCAAATCGAGATGTACAGGAGTCAGAATGAAGTCCGAAAATTCTACCAATGGGTAAAACAACAAACCGAAGGCTCTGGTGGTGGCACATCCTTCTGTAGAGATGAAGAAACCTGGTGACAGATACAGACAGTGTGCTGAGGATCTGGAAGGATCATTTTAAAAACTTCTTGTATTAAATAGTAGCGGTGAAGAGGATACGCCAGAACCAATAATATATGGCGGTATAGATTATATATCACCTAGCCAAGATGAGGTCAGAGTAGCAAATTATCGGCTGAAGAACAATAAAGTAGTACCGGACTATTCAAGACTGGTTATGAGCATGCACCAGCTGATTATTACAATTTGGCTAGAAGAATGCATGAGCAATCAGCATACTGTGTTTGTGCACAAAAATGAGGAAAGACGATATGTGCCAACTAGAGGAATTAGTCTCCTTCCCATCGAATTTAAAGTGCTATCCAGGGTGCCGTTTGAATGACTGAAGCCAACGGTTAATGCCATTATTGGTCCATATCAATGCGGCTTCGAACCCACCATTGACCAGATTTTCACTCTGCGCTAAAACCTGGAAAAACCCCACTAAAAACATCTCGACACATTCTACCTATTCGTCGACTATAAATCGGCATTCGAGAGTCCTATCCGTTCACATGTGTTTAAAGTCATGTTTGCGTTCGGCATTCCTGCAAAATTAAGGTGACAGTTTGTCGTGTGATCGTTTAACATCCTGTTGGGAAAGGTCATATAAGAGACAAAGGTGAACAGAAATGGCACTCTGTACACCAAACAAGACATGTTACTCGCCTACGCCGATGACATCGACATAATGGGTCGGACATTGAGAGCGGTAACATATTGAGGAGTCTAAAAAAGTGGCAGTAAATGACGAGAAGACCAAGCGGATGGTAACAACGCGCAACACATCAGCTTTGAAATTCAGAGGAGAATAGTGTTGGCCAACAGATGCTCTATGGTCTAAGTAAGCAATTCAGAAACAAGGCTACCAGACCAAACTCACACTCTACAAGACGCTGATACTACCCGTGGTGTTGTATGGATCAGGTACCCTACCTGCATAAGCAGATGAGGCAGCTATTGGAGTGTTTGAGAAAAAAATGAATATCGCCGTCGAATGAACCATGAGTTATACCATCTATTCTCAGACATCGACATAGTCAGACGTATCGAGCTGTAGCGTCATGTTGTGAGAATGGATGAGGATGCCCCAGCTCAAAAGGCATATAAATGCGAGGCAACAAATGGATCACGTAGAAGGGCAAAGCCACGAATTCGATAGAAAGATCAATTGGAAGACAACATGTCCGAACTTTCGGCTCATGGAACAAATGATGTAGGGTGGTCAAATTTTACGCCGCTTTCATTTGCTTTTAAATTCAATTTTATATTCGATTCTCATCGTTCTCTTTTGGACTTGCTTCACGCGTCTATACAAGGCAGTTCTGTTTCAGAAATATATTTTTTGACATTTTGTGACAATGTTCTGGATTGGAATTTCAAATTACTGACACTACAAACAAAATACACAAAACGAATTGGCAGAAAATTTCCGGTAGGAGCAATTTTTTCAATTTCTATTCCCCTTGCCCCTCTCTCCTGCAAACAAACACTTGCCGCAAGTAAACTAAACTAAATAGGGACTATTTATTGCTTTTATTTTTTTTAAATTGTGTAAATTTACACTTGATTAAACAAAGTTTTTGTGTTGATCGACATGATCAGTTATGACTGGGTAGTCATTAATATAAGTTTTTAATAATTGTTGATTTTGTTTATTTACTTTTATTTTATTTGTGAATTTGATTTGATATTTTTGGTTGCAATGAAAATTTTAAACAAAAAATCGAAAGTGATTTAAAATGGCAAGTAAGATATCTTAAGATCGATTGTAAGTTACAAACTCAAAAAACATTTTCTAATTTTCATATTTCTTTACTTTTCCAGGTCCAAAGTCTTTTGCAAAATGTTCAGGATAAATTTCAAACAATGTCAGATCAAATTATAACACGAATCGACGATATGGGTAATCGGATAGATGACTTGGAAAAGAGTATTGCTGATCTTATGAATCAGGCAGGTGTTGAGGGGCCAGAAAAATAAAAATAACATGATGTGGAGAAAAGTAAAAAAACATACGGCTGATATAAAAATGATGACGATCTCCAGGTGTGGGAGAATAGAAGAGGATGCTCAAAGAAATCAATAAAAAAAAAACAAAACAACCAAAACCCCCAAAACAACTACAAAAACTCTTATATCAAAATAACCCAACAACAACAAAACTTATACACAATTTCTTACAAACAAACGAAATAGAATCAAAACTCATCCAAAAACAAACTCCTTTCATTCTTGCCTCCAGTCTCACTAACAAAACCCCGTTCCTTCTATCTTGTATTACACATTTTCTATTATCAACAAGTCATTTCATTATCGTGTTTTTTTTTTTCTAAAAATTATAATATATTAAGATTTAAAATTAATAATTATTATTACTGTATTGTAGTTTTTTGTTGATGTATAGTTTCTATATTTTTTCCATTCATCCATGTATTTTTCGTGTCATAATAACTGTATTTAATTCACTTTTTTAGTACAATTATGATAGAAATTTACCTTGAATTATTTTTCTATGAAACAAAGTTAATATGTAATTTATAAAATTAACTTATTTAAAAAAAAGTGCGGATGATTAATATTATTTTGTTGGAGAGATGTTTTTTTTTGTAATGTATGTATAATTTATCTTAAAATTAAAAATGAAAATTTGATAAGCAAGAAAAGAGAAGAAAAAAAGCAAAACAAATTAAGAAATAAAAACAAATCTTGAATTATATTTTTAAGTTGAATTATTGTGAAACTTTAATAATAACTACAAAGGAGTCTTTATAGACTCCTATAAAGGAGTCGTTATAGACTCATATTAAGGAGTCTTTATAGACTCCTATAAAAGAGTCTTTATAGACTCTTTCTAGACTCCTTGAATGGAGTCTTTCTAGACTCCTAGAAAGAAGTCTTTCCAGACTCCTAGAAAGTAGTCTTTCTAGACTCCTAGAAAGTAGTCTTTCTAGACTCCTAGAAAGTCATTCTAGACTCCTAGAAAGTCATTCTAGACTCCTAGAAAGGAGTCTTTCTAGACTCCTACAAAGGAGTCTTTCTAGACTCCTACAAAGGAGTCTTTCTAGACTCCTACAAAGGAGTCTTTCTAGACTCCTAGAAAATATGCTTTCTAAACTCCTACAAAGGAGTCTTTCTAGACTCCTAGAGAGGATACTTTCTAGACTCATACAAATGACTCTTTCTAGAATCTGTGCTTAGGTATTGGTTCTTGGGACTTGCTTAGAAAATCGGCAGTCTGCGTCTGCGACTAGGTTGTTCCTAAAAGAATAATAATAGTAATCTTGTGCGCATCTAATTCAATTTGAAAGACCACGTTCCAAGATGTTGTTTTCTACTTGGTCTTTCCATCTGATTCGTGACCTTCCCCTTTTACGGGAACCATCAGTAGGCTCGCTTTTATATACTTTTTGAGCTGGGGCATTTTTATTCATTTGCACAACATGGTCTAGCCATCGTAGTCGCTGCTGCTCAATACGACGTGGTCTTTCAAATTGGATTATGTCGATGTCCGCGTATAAATTGTAAAGCTTTGTGAGTTTGGTCTGGCCTTGTTTCTAAACTGCTTACTTAGACCATAGTAGCAGTAGTTCTCAAGTTCCACTGTATGCCCGAGTCTACTGGACGTCTTGCTCGTTGGTACCATCAGCTTGGTCTTCTCGCCGTTTACTACCAGACCGACTTTGGCAGACTCCTCAATTTGTTCAAAGGTGGCTGTTCGACCCACTATGTCGATGTCATCGGCGTAGGCAAGTAATTTGTTATTGGTGTACAGGGTGCCATTTCTGTTCACTTTTGCATCTCGTATGACCTTTTCCAGCAGGATGATAAAAAGGTCACACGACAAACTGTCACCTTGTCTGATTCCTCGTTCGGTATTGAAGGGTCATTGACCATTGGCTTCAGTCGTTAACACAGTACGCTGGGTAGCACTTTATATGCGATGGGAAGAAGACTTATTCCTCTATTGTTGGCACATATCGTCTTGTCTCCTTTTTTGTGCACGGGACACAGGATGCTGAGGTTCCAATCATTAGGCATGTATTCCTCTAGCCAAATTGTACTAATCAGCTGGTACATGCTGGTAACCCGTTGGCTCCTGCTACTTTATTGTTCTTGAGCCGATTGATTGCTTTTATGACCTCAACTCAACTACACTCTATACCATTATCTCTTATTGGTTTTGAGGTATCTTCTTCACCGCCACTATTTGATACCAGAAGCTTTAAAAAAGCTCCTTCCAGATTCTCAACACCTTCGGTTTGGTATTTTACTCGTTGGTAAAATTTCCGGACTTCATTCTGACTCCTGTACATCTCGATTTGCTCCCGCTCACGTTTTTCTTGTTCTTTCTTCCTTTGAAAATACGTTTCTCCTCTTTGCAATTGGAGTGTAGGAAGTGGGCAATTCTTTGCCATTGTGCTTGTGTACTATTATCGGGACAAGAAGTGCTTTCGTCAAGCAGATGGGTATGTTGAGCGGAGTAGTCCTCGGCTACCTGTTGTGTTTGCAGCTTTTCGACGTCGAGTTTCAGTGTTGTGTTAGATCGCACCTTTGCTGCAACATTAAGACGAGTGCGAACCTTGGCTGCTACAAGGTAGTGGTCCGAATCGATATTCGCTCCCCGGATCGATCGAACGTCTACTACACTGGATGAATGATCAATTTGATTTATCGTCGCTTGATCAGGAGAAATCCAGGTGGCTTTGTGTATATCGAGATGCTTGAATTTGGTGCTGCTAACTACCATTTTTTTGCTGCCGCGAAGTCAATAAACCTCATGTCGTTTTCGGATGTTTCTTCATAAAGGCTGAATTTTCCGACGGTGGGGCCAAATATATTTTCCCTTCTGATTTTTGCATTAAAATCTCCTAGCAGAATTTTAATGACATGGCCAGGGCAACAGTCATATGCTGTTTCTAGGCGCTCGTAAAATATGTCTTTGGTGTGCTCATCATGGTCTTCGATCGGAGCATGGGCGCTAATAAGACTGATGTAGAAGAACTTCGCTTTTATGCGGATTATAGCAATTCGCTCATCTACTGGAGTGGTGGTCTTTTATTCTCCTGTTAAACATAAATCCGCAGCCATATTAATGTCTCGTTTCATGTCAGCTATAACACAGGGCGTAATGATCTGATTACTTACGTCAGTCCTATTCCATCGTATTTCTTGTAAGGCAATAATATCGGCTTCGATATTATTACGCACATTCCAAAGTGCAGATTCGCAGATCGTGGTCCTTTATATGTTTCCGGGGGTCATCAGCATTAGGGGGTTTGGTTTTCTTTTTCTTTGCTTTTTCATAGTAGGATGGGTTTTCCGAGTGTGAGCAACTAACCAGACCCAGACCCTCAACCCATTTTTATAGTTCCTATGGGTGAACTCGCGCCACATATTAGCTCACAATTTCAACGGGTGATGAAAATAGCTACCCCAGGTGACACCGCGGGGAAGTCAGTGTCCACAATTAAGATGAAAGAGGAAACCTGGACTTCGCCATGTTAAAGACAATAAAATTCACGCTTTGGTTGTTCTTAAAAAAAAATGTTTTTGGCAAAATAACTTTTAAAAAACCCATGCCTTGTGGGAAGTTGAAAAAAAAATTTAGATAGCTTTGTGGGAACTTGAAAAAAATTAAAAAATCCATATTTTAAAAATCTAAATAATTGCAATAAATCTGTTAACGTAATACATGAATGGCCCCATAACCCCCATAGAGTGTCTACCTTATGGTGGAGAGTCTTCCAGCCGAACTCAACGAATTTTTTGAATTTCAAAATTTTTTTTAATTTCTTTATTATGGGAAGATTAAGGTCCTTAAAATATTTTTTGTTTATTTTCTTAACAACTAATTCCGATTATTCCGTGTACAATTAATAACATTTCCCGCATTGTTTTCACCGCTGGATTTGGTTTTCTTTTTTCGTTCAACAATTTTTACTTCACCACCAGCTGCACCACCATTATTATCATCGTCATCCTCCGACTCCTCATCCTTTAAAGGAGTAGACGCTGATAGTTTATGCTTGTCGTGTTTATTTACCAAACGTGGTATACCCGTCGAGGAAGAGGCGGAAGCACCTGTTAAACGTTTTGTTACAAATACATTTTTATTTTTGCCAGCAATTGCGGGGCCGCCACTACCTTCCGATTTTAAATGGGGTTTCTTGAGAACCTACACATATACATACATATAATATTTAAAATTGTGACTTATTTAATAATTACGGTACAATCAAACTTGGTTATAAGGAACAGGTGTGAGGAACAATTTCAGGAGCAGGTGAAATCAACTACTGCAGGGGGTGGTTTGTTTTGTAGTATTCAAATAAATCTACATGGCCAGGTCCTTATAGTCAAGTTTGAGCGGGGAAAGCAACAAATGTTTTAAGGGCTAAGCTAACATTGCCACGGAAAACATTACAAAAAACCCATAACGTGGTTACTGGGTGGTAGGAATGGAAGTGCCACAGTCTACAAATGGTTGCATTATGAAGGGGGTGGGGGAGGCGAATGATTTATAGATAATGAATTTGTTTGTTTGTAATCAATAAACAAACTTTTGTTTTTAAGTAGTTTCAAGTTGTCATGAGAATGTCAAAATGAAGGAGGGAGTGTGATGATGAAGTTGCCTGTGCTGCAAGAGGTTCAAATATTTTTTTTACCAACAAATTTACCAAGTGTTTTTTGATGGTTTGTGGAAATGTAAAGCCAATACTTTTTGGATTTGTTTTTTCGTTTGTTTGCAAGTAAAAAATGCATGAAGAAAAAAACGATTGTCAACTCTTTTGAGGTTTTGTTTTTGGTTCTTAATACTGGACATGCATTTGCTTTTGCAACCTTACATGTGTGGCTGCCACAGCTTTGAAGGGATGTTTAACTTGTGGCTTTGCTAGGGGTTTCTTATAATTAAATTTGCTATTTGCCTTTATATCTGAGGCAGAATCATCAGACACGGCATCGCCCACATCTTCATCGGCTTCAGTGTTGGATTCGTCATCGGATTTCGATCTGGCGCTGTTGTCCTGAAAGAAGGAAGAGAAAAACTAATTTAGTTTAAAGAAATCACAATTTTACAATATACATATAAATTGGATGGTCTTAGAAAAATTATTTTTAATAAATCCACACCTTGGATGGTCTTAGATGGTCCTTATATAGGGGCTATCTCCATGGACCAGCATTTTTTATAGTTTTTCGTAGGAAGATGAGACATAATATGGGAGCCCAAATTATCGAATTACAGTTAATTATGTTAAAACCAATAAGGAAAGTAGTAAAGTCGAACTGGGCCGACTATATGATACCCTTCACCACTTTGGGTATATTGTACATATGTATCCTTACAATCGTATGTCAATGTTCCCAACAAGTCTCAATTTGACATGTTGTGCAAAATTTCGTGTTATTTGGACTTTGGTGTACCATTTACATTAAATTTGTCCAAATATATATAGGGCTATATCTAAATCTGAACCGATTTTCACGAAACTTAGCACACATCATTCTAGACTCAATTCAATATGCTGTGCCAAATTACGTGCAAATCGAAGAATATATAGCGTAATTGGTGCACCATTTAAATTAAATCGGAAGAAAATATATATGCGAGCTATATCTAAATCTGAACCGATTTTCACGAAATTTAGCACACACAATTCTAGGCTTGATTCAGTACGCTGTGCTAAATTTCGTGCAAATCGAAAGATATTTAGGGACATTGGCGCATAATTTACCTTAAATCGGACGAAAATATATATGGGAGCTATATCTAAATCTGATCCGATTTTTCCCAATTTAAAAAGGTTTCGTCGTTGGTCCAAATGAATGAGCTGTGCTAAATTTCATCCAATTGGAATAATAAATGCTACCTGTACTTTGTTTACAATTTAACATGGACAATTTAGAAGATGGACGGACGGACATGCATGAATCGACTTAGAAATTCTATATCGTTTCCTTTTGCCAGTTATAAACATATGTAGGTACCACAGTGTAGTGAAGGATATAAAAACGTCCTTAATCCCCAAAAATACCGAATAATAGATGACATTATAGGATGCTAACTTGAAATTTAGACATTAAAGATATTTCGATATTAATTTAGATATTAAAGGGCCCCTTTATAGGAGTCTATAAAGAGAGGAGTCTATAAAGGCCCTTATAAGAGCCATTAAAGGCTTCTTTATGAGAGTCTATTAAGGCTCCTTTAGATGAGTCGTCAAAGGCTCTTTTTTAAGAGTCCATAAAGGCTTCTTTATAGGAGTTTATTAAGGTTCATTAATAGGAGTCTTTAATGGCTCCTTTTAATGTTCCTTAATCGGAGTCTTTAAAGGCTCCTTTTAAGGTTCCTTAATAGGAGTCTTTAAGCATCCAATATAAGTATTTAAAGCATCCTATATAAGGGGTCCTTTATATGAATCTATAAAGGCTGCTTTATATGAGTCTACAGGGGCTACTTTAGATGAGTCTTCAAAGTCTCCTTTACAGAATCTAAAAAGACTCCATTACAGGGTCTAAAAGGCCTGTTTGATAGGAGTTTAAAAGGGCTCCTTGATATGAGTCTATAAAGGCTCCTTTATAGGAGTCTATAAAGCCTCCATTATATGTAAAGACTCCTTTATAGGAGTCTCAAAGGCTCCTTCAAAGACTCGTTTATAGGAGTATAAAAAGGCATCTTCATAAGAGGTAAAGATAAAGGCTACTTTAAACTCGTATAAAATCTCTATAAAGACTTCCTTTTATGCGTATATAAAGACTCATTTATAGGCGTCTATAAAGATCCCTTTATAGGCATGTATAAATTCTCCTTTATATGAACCTATAAAGGCTTCTTTAAATGAGATTATAAAGATTCTTTAATGAAGACTATAAAAGTTCTTTTATAGGAGTCTATAGAAGTCTATAAAGGCTCCTTTGTATGAGTTTCGAAAGACTAATTTGTAGTAGCCCATAAAATCCCTTTGCTTTAGAGGTCCCTTTATATAAGTCTTTAAAGGCTCCTTTACACTATTAAAGCTTATTAAAGGAGTATATAAAGTCTGTTCATAGGAGTCTTTTAATACTCCATTATAGATGACTATAAAGGCTTCTAGATGAGCTTCTAGGCGTCAACAAATTCCTTTATAGGCATCTATTAAGAATCCTTTTATGGTCAAATATGACGACTTCTTTCCGTTCGTCTATAAAGACTCATTTATGGCCGTCTGTAAAGATTCATTTTTGGTTATCTACAAAGAATCTTCAATAACTACTCATAAATATTCCATACAGACTCCTGTAAAGGATTTTTTATATTGTTTTTTCTGAAATAATAACAAATTTCTTTCATTACCTCATCATCTTCCTCGTCGTCATCATCATCCTCATCATCGTCGTCCTCATCATCATCATCATCTGTTTTAGTTTCATTTAAATTTTTCGTCGATTTGGACATCCTTCCCTTCCTCTTCAGGGGACTCAACAGTTGATCTCTATCTAAACTTTCCATTGATTGTGAACGTAAACTATTTGCCTTCTTATTTTTTCCCGCTTTCTTTTCCTGTGCCTCATTTTTCGTTTTCATTAATTTTTGAAATTCTATAAAATCACCACGTTCATCAATATTGGTGACATCATAATAACTTGCGGTTAAAGCTTCCAACGATTTGGTATGATATTTCATTGCAATCAATATGAAATCGGTTAGTATCTGTTTCAGATCGTTGAGTTTACGTTTTTCAAAATTACTTATCACTTCATCGATTTCTTTGTTCGTACGATTTACTTCCATTTTGGCCTTGAGTAATTCGGAATCGGCAGCGGACTGAAATGATAGAATGAAGAGGTATTAAGGGTCTATTTAAAGTAGGGTGTATTTGATTTGCTACTTACATTATTGGCAGAGAATTTGGATTTGAGATCCAGCATTTGCCGTTGTTTTAGTACTTCCTTGTCCCGAGCTATGACAGCTGTACGTAAATTGTCTCGGGTTGTTTTACACAATGTTTCAAATTGGGCCATTTCGTTGACTATCTGGAAGGACAAGAATAACAATTATTAGGGATTCCTAAAAAGGATTAATTAGAGTCCTCAAAAATGATTATTTCTTATAAAGGAGTCTTTATAGGCTCCTATAAAGTAGTCTTTATAGGCTCCTATAAAGGATTCTTTATAGGCTCCTATCAATGATTCTCCTATAAAGTACTCTTTATAGGCTCCTATAAAGGAGTCTATAAAGGCGTCTTTATAGGCTCCTATAAAGGAATCTCTATAGGCTCCTAAAAAGGAGTCTCTATAGGCTCCTATAAAGGAGTCTTTATAGGCTCCTATAAAGGAGTCTTTATAGGATCCTATAAAGAAGTCTTTATAGGCTCCTATAAAGGAGTCTTTATAGGCTCCTATAAAGGAATCTCTATAGGCTCCTAAAAAGGAGTCTCTATAGGCTCCTATAAAGGATTCTTTATAGGCTCCTATAAAGGATTCTTTATAGGCTCCTATAAAGGATTCTTTATAGGCTCCTATAAAGGAATCTCTATAGGATCTTATCAATGATTCTTTATAGGCTCCTATAAAGTAGTCTTTATAGGCTCCTATAAAGGCGTCTTTATAGGCTCCTATAAAGGAGTCTATAAAGGCGTCTTTATAGGCTCCTATAAAGGAGTCTATAAAGGCGTCTTTATAGGCTCCTATAAAGGAATCTCTATAGGCTCCTAAAAAGGAGTCTCTATAGGCTCCTATAAAGGAGTCTTTATAGGCTCCTATAAAGGAGTCTTTATAGGATCCTATAAAGGAGTCTTTATAGGCTCCTATAAAGGAGTCTTTATAGGTTCCTATAAAGGAATCTCTATAGGCTCCTATAAAGGAAGGTCTATAGGCTCCTGTAAAGGAGTCTCTATAGGCTCCTGTAAAGAAGTCTTTATAGGCACCTATAAAGGATTCTTTATAGGCTCCTATAAATGATTCTTTATAGGCTCCTATAAAGGCGTCTTTATAGGCTCCTATAAAGGATTCTTTATAGGCTCCTATAAAGGAATCTCTATAGGCTCCTATAAAGGAATCTCTATAGGCTCCTATAAAGGAGTCTCTATAGGCTCCTGTAAAGAAGCCTCTATAGGCTCCTATAAAGGAGTCTCTATAGGCTCCTGTAAAGAAGCCTCTATAGGCTCCTATAAAGGAGTCTATAGGATCCTATAAAGGAGTATTTATAGGCTCCTATAAAGGAATCTCTATAGGCTACTATAAAAGAGTCTTTATAGGCTCCCATAAAGGAGTCGTTATAGGCTTCTATAAAGGAGTCGTTATAGGCTTCTATAAAGGAGTCTTTATAGGCTCTTATAAAGGAGTCTTTATAGGCTCCTATAAAGGAGACTTTATAGGCTCCTATAAAGGAGTCTTTATGGACTCCTATAAAGGATTCTTTATAGGATCCTAGAAGGGAAACTTTATAGGATCCAATAAAGGAGTCTTTATAGGCTCTTTTAAAGGAGTCTTTGTAGGCTCCTTTAAAGGAGTCTTTGAAGGCTCTCATCTTTAGAAGTCTTTATAGGTTCTTATAAAGGAATCTGTATAGGCTCATATAAAGGAGTCTTTATAGGCTCCTATAAAGGACCCTTTATAGGCTCCTATAAAGGAGTCTTTATAGGCTCCTATAAAGGAGTCTTTATAGGCTCATATAAGGGAGTTTTTATATGCTCCTATAAAGGAGTCTTTATAGGCTCCTATAAAGGAGTCTTTATAACCTCCAATAAAGGAGTCTTTATAGGCTCCTATAAAGGAGTCTTTATAGTTTCCTATAAAGTTTATAGTTTCCTATAAAGTTAAAGGAGTCTTTATAGGCTAATATAAAGGAGTCTTTATATGCTTCTAGGGGTCTTTATAGGCTCCTATAAAGGAGTCTTTATGGGCTCCTAATAGAGATTCTTTATATGTTCCAATAGATGAGTTTTCGTAGGTTCCCATAAACGTGTCTTTATAGCTTCCTATAAAATAGTTCTTGTTGACGCTCCATCTACTCACCTTTATTTCCATGCGATGTACATTCAGATCCATATAATCCGCCATTATTGTCACAGCATTTGTCATATTTTTCAAACCTTCCGTTAGACTTTCATTGATTTCCTCTTCATCGGCATAATGTTTGAGACTTTTCGATAATTCATCATATGAATCACGAAATCTAAAAAAAAAAACAAAACCCAATAAATTATTTTTTATAAAAATATTCATTATAGACTTACTTTGCCATTTTCCTTGTGCAGGACGAAAATGTCGAACACATTTCCATTAAATGTTTTTCGGTTAAATTGATTCGCTCATTGATGATTTTTATACGATCATCTTTTGTATTGAGAAATGATAATTTTCCACGACGAAACATTATTTTTAATAATGAAAATTAAATATTAATTATTGTAATAAAGGAAATGGCTTCCTTCTGTGGCTATTGTTTTAATTTTTCCCTTCAACTGTCAAATTTTAACGGTTGCCATGGCAACACAGGGTGATTAAGAAAGTGGTGTTTTTATAGTTCAACCTTACATGGAAACGTGTGACGACGGGCAATATTTATAATAGGCCCTTCACTATAGTATGGAGGGTTAGAATAGTTTTTCAAGTCCCTATAGAAGGCGTGGATTTGTTTAAATTTTTCTTTTCAATGTTTAAAGGCCAGGATGTATTAAAAATATTTGTTCCATCGTACAATTATTCAAGGTAGGCCATAGCAACATATAAATCACAATTTTTTTATACTGTAGCTTGTTATGCCAAAGTCACCCAGTTGTTCAATGAATAGCAATTGTCTGCTATTGTATAGTTATATAGCTAGTTACTATGTTCACTAGTTACTTTATACCCAAAAGTGGCACACAAAATAGATAATTGACTTCATTTGTTGAATGAAAAAGCTATCTAATTCTGTAGTTACTGGTAATGCAAAAAGTAGTGAATCGACAAACAAAACAAAAAAAAAAGAATTGTCATTTTCTTCAGACTTTTTATAATTTTCAGAATTGTGAAAGAAATTAGTTTTTAAAAATATTCCTTTAAACATATATAAGTCATATATATCCACGATATACAAGATTAAGTGCTGTTGAATTAAAAATCTCGGAATCTTAAAAATACGTATGATGAATCTTGGGTAAATTTTGATATTGCAACACAATAAATACATATGTACGTAATATTTCAACTTTATTATCTTACAGATTTTCAATAGATGTCACTCCAGAAGCATCCAACAGATTGAGAAAACAATTAAAAGTTTTTAATAGGTAAATATTCTCCAAAAAGACCCATATCTTTATTTATGTATATTTTGTAATTTTCTGTTTCAGATGATTCAATATTTCAATTATTTCGTAGAGAACGGATGCTAAAAGCGGTCAAGAAATGCAAATGTCAATATGGCGGCGTAAAAATTCTGATAAAATTAAATGAAACATAAACTATGTACAATATAAATTATGAAATAAATAAAAAATACATTTTCCGTATAACATTTATATTTTAAAATTTCCAAACTGTTATAATTGCCAATTTGCTATATATTTGTAACCAGTGACAATACTTAAAAATGGTATCTACCCAAATGACTGGTTACTGGTAATGCAGGCAGGGGACAATTGACTTCCCCAATGAGATACCCATGTTAAATTCACCAGTCTAGGGCATGATGTGGTAACTAGTGGTAGTTACAGGTAATTAGTAAAATAACTAGTTCATAACCAGTTACTCGAACTACTGGGCATATACAAAATGTGTGACTGTGTGTGTAATGTTTTAAAAAATAAAACCAATATACCTTGAATATAACAAAATATATTCGAAAATCGATTTGTCTGAAGTTGAATTTTACAACATTTTTAAGAAGAAATGTATGATTTGTGAATGAATCAACATGTAAATCATATCCCCAACTCAATTTTGAAGAGAAAACCTAACATTCAATTTATTTTTCGCATTTTTTTGTAAAATGTTAAAAATATGTCAAATGAACAAAACGACTTGTTGCATTTGTTTTCATTTATTCTGACATTATTGCCCATGAGGTAGTGGTGTATTTTCTCCTTTCTGACAAAAGCTACCTTACCTTGCATACTTGTACCATGATTTGTTCAATGTTTATAGAAGGCGTGGATTTGCAGCCCCAAGAGTTTGTAACGCCGCGAAATATTGGTCCTAGACCCAACTTTAAGTATACCTATCGTCATATCTCGACTAGCTGAGTCGATCTGGACATGTGTGTCCGTCCGTCCATTATAATTTGTAAACACGATACAGGCCACAGTTATGGACCAATCTTCACGAAATTTTGCATGTAGGATGGGTTCTGGCCAATGAAGACCCCTATTGTTTTTGATAAAGATCGGTTAATATTTAGGGGATGAAATGGACCAAAAACTTTGTGAAAATTGACAAAATTTGTATTCTATAGCGTATATATTTACCCCTGAAGGACATAGACCCGAGAAGTTGATAGTATATCCAAGAGGAATGGTTGACCTTTAAATTGATACCAAGCATATTGTCGTAGGTACTCGGATGCGGGAGTTACACTTAAATATTTACAGTTGCTTACGTATTCATATTGTTACGTTCTTGGATTTTACTTAATCCCGTGTAGACGTTGTTTTATTTCCCAATACAGTTCGTACCAAATAAAACGCGGGTTCCTTCGGATTACGATTATTACAATGATTTTATTCACACAACTTTACTTTGCACTTTACTTTACTCGACGGTTTCAATTCGCGATCTGATTCACAACTGACTGACTGCCTTTCCATTTCCCCTATTTATATGAGCCTCGCCTGTCGCTACAGAAGTTTCTAGACGATCTGGTAACACCTAGATTGCGAACAATCTACAAATGCAACAAACACATACAACCTTACAGTGAGTAAACTATAACAACAACACATATACAGGCGAGGGGGTAACAAAGAAAGAGGAATTAAGCGATCATCAATGATGACGTTTAACAAGAATTGTACGTCAATAACAAAATAGAAAATAAAGAGGAAATGGAAGGATGTAGAAAAATCTATACAGTAGTTGTTGTTGTGAAGTTATTCGAATAAACTGCGTAGTAGAAATTTACGTTACAATTCAAATTCTTAAATTAACGGAAATCATCTAAATTAACTTAAATCTAAAGTTATATTCGTAACAATATATTATTTAGTAACCTGTTACCACACTTTAGGGCGGATACATAGCCTGATCGCTTTGAAATGTTCCATGAGGTTCCAGTTATGGTCAAGGACAACGCCTAAAACGTTAGGTGATGATCAGATAATAATTTTTCGGATGAAGTGGACCGAAAACTTAATTATTTGTACTTTTAGAGTCGAAAGCCGAACATAACAACACAACCTACGGTGAAGGGAATCTGGACAAGTAATTAGAGGGGCTGTACTTTTTATTAGTATCATTTTCTGACCTCTAGCCAGTCAAAAAGTGTGCAAATATCGCGAAATATTGCCCAATCTCAGAATATAAAACGACAGATTGTTAAATTTTCATGGAAGTTGTGTAAGGTATCATATGGTCGGCCCGTCCGACTATACTGCTCCGCTCACTGGTTTAAAAATATTTTTTCAATGTTTATAGAAGGTGTGGATATTTTAAAATTTGTTTTTTGTTTATTAAAAATCTGGCTCGAGGCGCAGATTTTTAATATTATTTTTTTTAAAGACTGGCTCAAGGATCTCTAAAAATATATTTTCAATGACCTATTTTTAGAGACTACAACAAAGAGTAGATTTTTAAAAATATATATTTTTAAAGACTAGCCCAATGCTTAGATTTTTTAGAAAATATTTTTAGAGACTACATCGAAGTGAAGATATTTAAAAATATATATTCAAAACTACCGCAAGGCAATATTTTTTAGAAAATATATTTTGGCGACTTTTAAAAATATATATTTTTATAGACTATCTCAAAGCGTAGATTTTTTGAAAAATATAGTATAGTATTTAACGAATATTTTTAGGCGTGGATTTTTAAAAATGTATAAAAAGCCTATATTTAAGCTTGGATTTTTAAAAATATTTTTTAAAAGTCTACAACATTTAGGTGTGGATTTTTAAAAAAATATTTTCAAGAGCTCTACATTTAAGCGTGAATTTTATACCCTTCACCACACTGTGGTACAGGGTGTTATGTCTTTGTGCATATGTCTGTAACTGGCAAAAGGAATCGAGATGGAACCATGGTTTCTTTTGAGAATATGCATAGAATCACTTTCTGAGTCGATTTACGCATGTACATCTATCCGTCCGAGCGTCCGTCTGTTGATGTTAAATTGTAAAAAAAGTACAGGTCGCATTTATAATCCGATTTGGATGAAATTTGGCCCAAGCATGAACCCTATTGAAATTGGAGAAAATCGGTTCAGATTTAACGTAAATGGTGTACCAAAGTATCTATATTTCTTCCGATTTGCAAGAAATTTGGCATAGCGTCCTGAAATGGGTCTGAAATGATGTGTGTAAATTTTCAAGAAAATCGGTTTAGATTTAGATATAGAACTCCTTGTACATTAGAACTTTTTTACCGGGTTAACCTACTTTATGAGGATTTATTTGATATATGCAAAGGAAATGACACTTGAAACCCACTGGGTTAACGAAATCTGGTTAAATGTAAACGTACTATAGCTCCCATATATATTTTCGACCGATTTAATGTAAATGGTTCACCAAAGTCCCTACAAATCATTCGATTTTCACGAATTTTGCCACAGCTTACTGAATTAAGCCTAGAAAATGTGTGCTCAGTTTCGTGAAAATCGGTTCAGATTTATATATAGCTCCCATATATATTTTCGTCCGATTTAAGGTAAATGGTGAACCAAAGTCCCTATATACATATCTTTCGATTTGCGCGAAATTTGACGTAGCGTTCTGAATTGAGTCTAGAATGATGTCGGCTAAGCTTCGTAAAAATCGGTTCAGATTTCGATATAGTTCCCATATATTTTTCATCAGATTTTAAGTGAACTGCGTCAAGAATGATGTATGAAAATAGGCTCAGATTTAGATATAGCTCCATTTATATTTTCATTCGATCTTATGTAAAGTGTGCATCAAAGATCCAAAGCTTGTACGATTGACACACAATTTTGTTGAAATCGGTTCAGATTTAGATATAGCTCCCATTTGTATTTTCGTTGGATTTGCCAATGTTGCAGATACAGACACAGCTTCCATATATATTACAAACGGGTATCTGATTGATATTAAATTTATGTAAATAAAATCGATTTACATAAAGTTGTCCCATTGTACGCAAACGACTCAAAACTTGGCCGAATGAAATTAAATTTAGCATAGGTTCCAGATCACAGATTCAAGTTTGTTCAATTTC